TCACATCCTCATAAAAACTCAGCAAACAATATTCAATTTTTCTTCGTTCACATAAAACCTTAACAAAAAAATTAAAGATTCACAGGTTTAAGACTAAAGAGAATATATAGGATAAAAATCCATTTCAGACAATTCGAAGTCGATTTACTCATGTCCGTCTATCTGGTGCGGTCATTAACTCTGCACTGGAGTAACCGATATTACTAAAATATAATTCAATAACAGTGTATACGGTATATTGCAAACCTACATTTAATCTAAAATATGGTGTCTATTGGGTTACTGCACCTGTTTGGTCTAATCTTGGAATTCCTTAATATTTATATTAAAAAAGATTTAATAGAAAAATTTCGGCTATATTGGTCCATCCCCTTTGGTATCTCTCCAACAAATTGGCACAAATTTGAATAAGAGGCATAAACTCACAAAATTACCAAGACAGAGGGACTCTGAATCAGAGATGCGTAGAGCCAGTGGGTAACAACCTTGCAGTCTTACCACACAGTGCTGTCAACATCAGTTAATACAAAACTTCAATCAAACCCCGCACACCAAGGTGTATGTGCCAATCAATCAAACGTATTTGGACGCGATCACCTCCTTAGATGAAGAGTGGAGCCCACCTAAAACTCCTGCTTTTCTATAGGCCAGTCACCCGGTTGTAATACAATTCCACAGTGAGCCGAAACTTTACACGCGATTTGTGTATAAGTAATCAGCACTATGCTCCTCAAAGAGCCAACACCAACTGCTGTGGAAAACCAAAGTCACTGCCATCAGAATTAAAATTGGCAGGCTCTCTACAATGGAAAAATCGCTGGACGGAGATAAAAAACAAAAGTGACCTCCAACATGTTACGACATTGGTAGCCACGATGCATTTCACCCCTCCCATCAATTGTTCCACAAGCCTGCTAGTTCGGGAATGGTCGCCAACAGACTACCCTCTGTATGCTTCAGTAGTCGAAACAGATGCAAGAAACAACACTTTCGATGCCAATTTCTACATCGTCTCCCAACCCAACGATCATTCCACAAGCTTACAAAGTTCGGGAATGGTGACCCTACTAGCTTGAATCCAAGATCCGGTTGCAAGAATTTTGTATGTGGAGTTAAACAACGTAATTCATCTCCAGTTGTTACAATAATTCAAGTCTCCATTTTTGGGTAATTTATAACGATGCATCTGCCACTTCGCAGGCAGTCTTTCTTTCCTAATATGATGTCGAAGTAAGTCAGCTTTATTTCTGTCGTCGGATTTTAGAACTTCCGCGGGAAACCATCTTCTCCTTCCGATTTTTTACTCTTTAGTTGTTCTATTTGCCTCTTTTATTTGGTTCAAAAAGGGAGAGATGCACGGGTTACACCTTTAGTATATTTTAACACTTTCGTTCACTTTTAGTATAATTTTCAAACAATCCTTTGGTTTATCCTCCCAACACTCCATCTTTAATTCTCATTCCGATGTCAGGGTTCTAGACATATGCGTGACTGTCATATTAGCAGTAGCTTCGTCCGAAGACCAGCTCCGAAGACTTCATTCCATTGTCTTCATCCAAGGTATGAGATAAGTCGGAAATCATAGCAAAATTTCAGAGTTTCAATCTCGCATTTGCCAAAAATACAGAGTAGGTGTTTGATTGATTCCGCCTATTCTTCATTCTCATATTTGGAATTGAGAGACTTAATTCTGATGTGACCTATTATGATCCCTATCACTAGTTCATTTATTTTTTACTGAGAGAAATCAATTCGATTATATATATCTTGCAACTATTTATAGTTCTGTTCATTATTGTTAATAAATGGTAATGCTCTCTTAACTCATACAACTTTTAAACTTTAATATGCACATATTCTCATATTCATTGCGTTCAATTAAGTCTGACAGACAACTAGTCGCCATAGCTGAATCACTGAAGCGGTGTGATTAACGCGAACTCACTGTCGAACGATTCACAAGACCAAATGCTGTTTGTTGTTTCACCTTCCTATTGTGTTTTCTGTTTTTGGCTTTTTTGTTTTTGTTTTGGTGCTTATTGCCTTTTTGGCCATGCGAACATGTGCAACAACTACCGACGACATTCTCCATTCGCCTCAATCGGTTACGAATCGTCGACTGGTTTCCAAGTTTTCAGCGCACTTGCGCGCAATTACAATCTCGCACGCCTAATGAACTGACCAAAAAGTGTAAAGACCTCTGCGAACAAATTACGAAAATAAAAAAACAAACATATTTTAGATTTTAATAAAAAAAGGTATCGGAATAACTGAAATTTGCAAAGTGAAACATTCCATTCATAAATACCCAATCCCACAACTAGTGCGTATGTGTGTGTGGGTAAAACTACATGTTCTGTGTAAGTGAACTGAAAGCCTCCATCCATAGTCCTGACAAATAATTGACGAGTTCGCGTGTGGTCGTTAAATAAATCATTAAGTGTCCATGTCCTTTCACATGAAAAAGTTAATTGCTTAATAAGAGTTTATTTATTGATTTTTTTCTACAAATTTCAAAGTTGCAATCACAAGTCCAATAGAATGGGTAATTCCAGTTCTCTTTGTTCCAATCAGAACGCCGTACGAAGCTACGATGAAAATAGGTAAGAAATAAAAGTATTAATATGGTATTAACTCTTTTCGACATACTCCGGCCCTTCTTAAGTTAAATCTTCAGTTTGGCAGTGCAATGATTGCATAAATCATTTTTATTGAAATTCATTTTTCAAGGTCATCATATACACATGTATGTATTCATATGTTATGGCATTGTTTTAAATAACAAAACTTTAATGTGGAACACTTGCCACTGCATTGACGTTTCGAAGTAGAGCCCGGTTTTAATGTTAAAATATATAATAACCATTCACTTTTACATTCATATTAATTGTATGTTAAAATATAAATCCACAATCAACAAAAAAAATACCACATAGAAAAACGTTAGTAAGCAACTGCAGAAGCTGTAACCATTTATGTAATATTTTTACACCTGTTTCAAATTGACAAAACTTCATGTAATATTTATTCAATTAGTATAGCTACTTTTGAATGTTTCCGGTCTGTCATTTTGAATGTTTAGTTAATGGTCTCATTCTCACTAAAAACAACATTGCTAAGGATATATGGCGTGACAATCCACTAGAAACACCCGAAACAAGTGAACGTGTACTTATATTCGGAAATAACCTACACCATGAGGTGTAGAAGTCCTGCTCTCTATTTGCAAAAAAACTCTAGTAGTCGATTTTTTATCATTAAAGAAATGATAATCGCTTGATGCCAAGTCCGGACTATATGGCGGATGCATTAAAATTTCCCAACCAAGCTTCCGAAGTTTCTGGTGAGCCACTGTAGATGTTATCCTGGTGGAACACGACACCTCTCCTGTTGGCCAATTCTGGCCGTTTCCGGTCAATTGCTATCTTTAAACGGTCCAGTTGTGTACAGTAGAGATCAGAATTTATCGTTTTGCCATATGGAAGCAACTCATAATAAATAATCTCCTTCCAGTCCCGCTCTTTGATCACGATCGCTCGATTTCCCATCTCCAGTCACCATCCGCTCAAGAAATGGGTCTATCTGATTACGTTTGGCTAAGGCTTCGCAGATGGAAATTCAATCCATCCTATTTTTTCTGTTAAGGGAACCCCACCCATTCTCGATTTTAATTTTTCAAGATTTTAAATGGGCTGGTAAATCAATACCAATGCTTGTTAAGGTTTGTAACTTTGCATACATATATTTGAAGATTTAAAAAAGAAGAAAAATAATTTACAAAAAATGTTTGTTATTGCTTTGTTGTTGTTTTTTGTAATTAAAGAATAGTCCTTATTTTTTATGGCGGGCATGATAACTCCTCACTGGATCATCGGAATCCGAAAATTCCAACGGTGTTAGAAAGAGTACATATCTGGCTCTCGTATGAACTAGGATTATTGATTTCGCTCTAAAATTAACAAAATGGCGGACCTTTGAAAAAATATTTTTGAAAAATCGCCGAATTTTGACCAAACACTAAGTTAAAAAATAAGGAAGATCTTCACCGATTGGCTTTATCCTAGTTCATACGATAGCTATACACTCACAGAGAAACGTGTGAAAATTTGAAATCGATTGGGTTATTAGTTTTTGAGTTATCGTGCCCGCCATTCGCAAAAGAGAAAAACGCGTTTAAAGTTTGAGAAGCCCTTTAGCCGTCACTTGATGCTGACACAATAAATCGGCTATATCTTCAAGAGTTCTTGAGATTTTCACTTGAAATTTTGTAGAGACATTCTTGAGTTAATGTATAATCGAATTAAATCAAAAAAAATTTTGACCCCGAGAATGGGGGGGGGTCCCCTTAATTGGTGTGGCACCCAAAACATCTTTTTGAATCCAGCTTTGTGTAAATGGTTTAAGGGAAATCGCCTATTTTTATTAAGTTTAAAAATAAGGAAGATCTTCACCGATTGGCTTTATCTTAGTTCATAATTTGGAATCGATCGGATTATTAGCTTTTGAGTTATCGTGCCCGCCATTCGCAAAAACGCTGTTTGGAGAAAAATGCGTTTAAAGTTTGAGAAGCTCTCTTGCCATTACTTGATGCTAGCACAATATATCGGCTATATCTTCAAAAATTGTTGAGGTTTTCACTTGAAAATGTATAGGGAATTAGTGTAGGTTCGAATTATACCAAAATACAAAATCAAATTTTTTGAAACCGAGAATTGGGGGGTCCCCTTAAAACAGTTTTATGGTCGATTTTTATCTCCTGGGTGATGTTACTAACATACCGGTCCCCAAACTAATATAATTCATACCATGGCCAACAGTCTGTCAGAACACGTTTTATTCACTCAGAAAACAAAAAGCCAAATTTTAGCCAATAGGAAATTATATATGCATAACATTAGCTTCGATTAAAAACCAGTAAGGAAAGTTCAAAAGTCAGACGGGGCCGACCATATAATACCCTTCACCACTTTGGGTACATGCAACCTGTTAATATCTACAATATCCTGTAGATATAACGGTCATTGAATATTTGGAGGACCATTGAGATGAAATCGGGCGAAATTAAATGTGCTATCTAGATAGATATTTGAACTAATTGAAAAACACCATACACATCCCATTCTGAAATCAATGAAAAGTTGCATGTCAAACGGACAGACTTGGATTCTTTAGTGTACCATTTGTATGAAATCGAGTCAAATTATGTATGGGAGCTATATATAAACACATGGACGTAATTGAGTAACCGTTGCATACACCATTTGTTTTTTGTAATCACTATATTCAATTTAAAACCCTCTGCCAAATTTCGTGTAACCACCATTTACATAAAAACGAAATATCAAAATCTGAACAGATTTCAACAAACCTTATCACGCATCATTTTTTTCAATAGCAAAACATTACTCAATCAGACAAATATTGGGAGTTTCGTGTATCATTCCCAAAAAATCAGACGAAACTATATATAGGAGCTACATCTAAATCTGAACCGATTTAAAAAAAAAAAAAAAACTTCGCAGACATCAGTCTGGATCTAATGCAATGCTCTGTGCAAAATTTTGTCCCAATCGGACAAATATGCAAAACATTACTCAATCAGACAAATATTGGGAGTTTCGTGTATCATTCACAAAAAATCAGACGAAACTATATATAGGAGCTACATCTAAATCTGAACCGATTTAAAAAAAAAAAAACTTCGCAGACATCAGTCTGGATCTAATGCAATGCTCTGTGCAAAATTTTGTCCCAATCGGACAAATATTGGGAGTTTGGGGCATCATTCACAAAAAAATCGGACGAAACTATATATGGGAGCTATGTCTAAATCTGAACCGGTTTTCTCCAATTTCTATAGGGTTCGTCCTTGGGCCAAATAAATGAACTGTGCCAAATTTCATCCAAATCGGATCATAATCATACTTTGTTATCAAAAATACATGGACGGACATGCGTAAATCGACTCAGAAAGTGATTCTATGCATACTCTCAAAAGGAACCATGGGTCTATCTCGATTCTTTTTCTTAGTTCGGGTATTAAAAAAACATCATATCAAATAATATCGAGAATAGTTAATAATAATAGTGGATCGGATGTAAATCCTCGAGCAATTAGCCGCTGTGCTCATGAAACTGAGAACAACTGCGCTTCTTGTATTAAGTTTTTAAAGGAGCATATTTATTGGTCTCAAGACTGTTATTTTTTCTGACAAATCCAAATCAAATTTATTAAACACGAATTATACATACAATGATCTGTATGGAGGTCACGCTATCTTCTGAAGGAAATGAAATGATATGCGTGGGGTTGTATTTTGTCTGGAGGCAGGTCAAGTTCGAAGATGGGCTATATCGGTCTACGTTTAGGCATAGCCCCCATATAACGGTAACCCCCTTTTTTGGTGAGTGCAATTATCAACCGAATTCGCTATAATTTGGTACTTTGCGTTCTTATTGGGTACCCAACTCCACTCCACTTATTGGGTACCCAACTCCACTCCACTCTCCACTAAAAATAAATGTCCATATAACGGTACACCCAAATTTCGATATTTTAAGGTTATTGAGCGCGATTTTGTATCTAATTCGCTGTAATTAGGCACTTTGAGTTCTTATTTGGTATCAAATCTCTACAGTAAAAATTATAAATATAGGTCCACTTTTTCTGGTATCCCCCATACAGCGACGTAGCCAGAGGGGGCACGGGGCCCCTTTTACCACACTTTAACACGCAGTGTTACAGGGTATTATGTCTTTGTGCACATGTTAGTAGCAGGCAAAAGGAAACGATATAGACCAATGGTTCCTCTTGAGTCGATTTATGCATGTCCGTCTTTCTGTCCATGTTAAATTGTAAACCAAGTGCAGGTCGCATTTATCATCCAAATGAGATGAAATTTGGCGGTACTGATTTAGATATAGATGGTGCGCCAAAGATTCACATTTAGGCCGATTGGCTCGAAATTTTGCCATTTTTTTAATAGCTTCAGATTTAGATATAGCTCTCATATATAATTTTCAACCAATTTCAAATATCGAAAATTGGGGAATACCCTTATATGGGGGGCTAACTCTAAACGTGGACCCATATACCTCATCTTCGAACTTGACCTTCCTGGAGACAGAAGACAACTCTAGGCAAAATTTGGCGATCTATCTCAATTTGTTTAGATGCTAGTGTGATTACAACAGAGATACCGATTTATTATTACGCTGATCAATATGATATACTTTTTAGGGTCGGAAATGATTTTTTCGTTGAGTTACAAACGGAAGAATAAACTTAATATACGATTGTAGGGTTAAGTAAATTAGTCAAATTTCATGTCAATGATCCTTCAAAAATGCGAGGTCTGCATCTCTTGAATATAGCTAAAGTTGTAAAGTGTATCATATAGTCGGCCTCGTCCGACTTTACTACTTTCCTTACTGGTTTATTATTGAATCAGAAGATCTAGTTTTTGGGACATGATCTAGTTTTTGAAGCCCAATTAAGTCGGTCGAAAATTTATATGGGTTATGTCTGCATTTCTACACAGCCCAATTACGTCATTCTATGGTAACTTTTTTCCGACGAAAATATATATGGGAGCTATCTTCA